TGCTGTAGAATTTCAACTTTCCACCTGCATAGAAAACTTATGTTGTGGATTGGCCATAACCTCACACTTTACTCATTCTTTAAGATTCTAAGAATGCTCTTTCAAATTGCAGAGAGAGCAATGATTTTCAAGGTTTAAAATTCATTTTGTAAGACCTCTGCAATGAGAGTTGTGCCTGCACTAAAAAAAAGCGTAATAAATTCAAAAACATTTGATTGTATTGTATAGAAACAGTTCTTTCTCGAGGCCCATGAATAAAATCCTCTACAAAAACTATGCCAGAGCAGAAAGCAATGGACATTCATTGTTGCTGTGATGCATTCCCCAATTACTCAGACATGTTGAATCTTACTGTCACTATTAGTAAAATAGGCCATTTGTTATAGGTGAACATGAGCAGTGAACCTTCATATCTCAATATATGGGTGAGACTTTCTCCTTTCTGGAGATCATGGGAAGGGGAAATATTTGGGTGAGTTTACCTTGAGAGATGTTTGCCCCCTTCTCACCGCCTCTGCAATTTCTCTGGCTGAGAAAGTCCATGGGTGAGTTTATTGACTCTCCATCAATTAAGTCATCGATTAATGGCCATGTAGGAACTTAATCTAATTACCTCACCGATCACAGCCTTCCCAGTGGGAGAGAAAGCTGACTAGTTTCCTGACTGGGAAAGTTGAGGTGCCTGAGGGAGACACTCACCCTTGCTGTTGTTGAGCTGACTCATAGGCAATCCAGTGAGTCCTCTCATTATTTAGGAGCAGCTTGTTCATTATCACTAAACATGCTCATTCCCTCCCCTCTCTCACCACCCGCCCAACACAGAAAACAATTGGGTGACTCCCATTCTGTGGGCAGCAGTGTTGCTTCATGGATTCCTGTTTCCACTTCTGGGTATCTTTCAAATACAGCGACTTGTACACATACACACCTGCAACTATATTTTGATGTTGCAATCATGGAATAAAAATAAGCATGGAGTCCTTGTCTGATTTTGCAGCTTCTTCCCTCAAGGATACTGAAACCAAGTTGCAGTGTGGCTGCCATGATCCTGAATTTGTGTACTTCAGCCACATCAAAAATCATATTTAAGCTTTTCCTTGTCTGAACCCTGATTTGTGCCATCACTATCTGAAAGCTCAGAGGAGTTTTCATCAGTGTGACTTTTGAATTACTGTTCCATCCTCGGGTGAAATCAAGACTTCACCTGACAAAGGAGCAGCGCTCTGAAAGCTTGTAATTTCAAATGAACCTGTTGGACTCGAACCCTCTGTCATGCGATATCTGGCTTTGCCCATCCCAGTTGAACACCGGCACCTTCTCATCAACACATTTGAATTAATATTGCAGCTTTGTTTTTGTAAATGTTTATGTTTGAGTTTATTTTTTAATCTTTTTGTTCCAACTGTTGGTGATTACTGTTTCGAAGTTGTAGTGTACATGACAATTTCTGATCCAAATTTCAAACACCAGCAAAGAAATCAAGCAACATATATTCATCGAGCACTTACTGCTGTAAATTGATCATGTTCAGAACTACTTGGCTCAGACTGCAGTGCATCCTGAGCCTCACCATGGACAAAAAAGCTGAATTCGCTAAGTGATTTGTAGCACAACGTGTTTTATAATAAACTCAAGGGGATGGGAAGGACAGTTCAGCAGCTTATGTCACATCTTACATAAAAAGGAGACTGATGATAGAGATTGGAGACCAATTAATTCAGTTACAGGGCATCACAGTGGGATTTTCTCACAGCAACATTCTATAACTGTGTTACAAAGTTTCATCAATGATCTGTCTTCCTTCACAGAGTCAGACATGGATCCACTTACTGAGGACTGTACAGTTCAGTTCCATTCACATTTCCTTAGATAATGAAGAAGTGCCCGACTGCATGCTGCAAGACCTGGACAACATCTAACTGTGGTCCAGTAAGTGCCAGATGATATTTGCACCACACAGATATCAATTGATGACTACGTCCCCAAAAATGGAACATAATCATCTCTCCTTGACATTTAATGCATTACCATCATCAAATCACCACAATTAACCTCCTGAATAGACATTGAACTAAGCTGGTTAGATAAATGCTGTGGATGCTGGAAGTTGAGTGTTTTGTGGCAAGTGATTTACTTCAGAATTCCCCAGAGGATTATAATGATTCAGAATTGCAATGAAATTCTCTCCATTTCTACAACACTCAAGTAACTTTTTTAAAATTCATTCACAGGATGTAGGCATCACTGGCTAAGCTAGCATTCAGTGCTCATTCCTAATTGCCCAAAAAGTAGTTGAGAGTCAACCATGTTGCTGTGGGTCTGGAGTCACATGTAGGCCAGAGCAAGTAAGGATGGCAGTTTTCTTCCCAAAAGGATGTTAGTGAACCAAATATTTTTCTGACAATTGGCAATGGTTTCAAGGTCATCATTGGACTTTAATTCCAGGTTTTTTATTGAATTCAAATCTCATTATCTGCCATGGTGTGATTTCAACCTAGATCCGCCAAACATTACCTGGGTCTCCAGATCAATAAGCTAGCGATAAAACCATCAGGCCATCACCTTTTGTGCCATTCAAAACAAAGAAATCTTCTTGACTGACATTCTAATTATTGAATTAAAAACTCACCCGCTTCAGCATTAGCATATTGTAGCTGCAGTAACTATTATCTATACCATGCATTGCAGCAACTAGTCCAGATTTTCTTCTCCAATCATCTTCCTAACCTGAAAACCCAATCCACTCGCTAAAAGGATGAGTGCAGGCAAAAACTATCAATTCCAAGGTTCGTCCCAAGTTACCCACCATCCTCGTTAGTTATACGTCACCTTCCTTCAATGTGCCATGGTAAAGTTTCTGGATGTCCAAACCTAACGTTTGAACTTCATGATCTGCAGTGCTTCGAGAAGAACATCCACCATCCCCGTACAAAGAGCAACTAGAGAACTGCTGGGAATAAATGTTGGTCTTGGCATGAATGGCCACATCCAAAAACAATTAAAACAGCTGAACTGAAGAACAATGTTACTTTTCAGAGAATAAAAAAATAAATATACGTACCTGTGGAATAAGGTAAAGATTCAACAATCTTGCAACTACAATTGATATTTCTGAGTAAAAGCCCCCAATAACTGCTTTTACATTTGGATTGTATTTAGTGTAATTACAATGAACTTCAATTCTGCTGTCTGAGGAGTTAAATTTGGAAAGAAATCTTTGGGTTGCTTGTATTGCAGCGATAACATTGGAGCAGCTGTCATAAATTTCATATCCCAGTTTTATACCAGGTAAGAAGGTTGAATTGTTTATCTGTTCGATTGTATATATCATAGTTTGGACATGGAGAAACATGGAAGGATCAAATCTAGAGAGAAATAAAACACAATAGATTTTTCATAATTATAAAGAAACATATGGAATATTATATCACAAAGTATTGTGGTGTGCTTGTAAAGACCAAAAGGTGATCAGTTTACATTAGAGTTGATATAGTTTCGACTTTTAGATGGAAATAAATAAAGTTCCACGTCTTATAATTGACTGTAAAACTGACCCCAATGTCTTGCAGAGAAATCTCTCCCTGGAAAGACAGACACACACACACACCTCCCTTCACCAATGGACACTAGAATCTAAGCCCTCGACCCCAGACAACAATGACCCCACTCCATCCAACTCAGTTATCTGCCTGTCTGTCAACCTGACCATCAGGTGGACAGGCTGACCTCCTCCACCTGGACACCTGAACTGCACCACCACTCAGTGACCCCACCCAATCCACCTAGCAACCCCTCTGGCCAGGGGACTCTGTGAACAGCATCCCCACATCCCCTGTGACCCCCAAACATTCCCCACCTTCTGATACCCTTCCCCCTTACCTTGTACCCGCATCATTTCATTTATCAGTCAACCATTCCCCCCCACCACCAACCCCCCCTTACTCATCCTGCACTCTTACCCATCTGGTACCCTATTTCTCACAAACCTGTCACAATAGTCCCTGACCTTCTTGCCTGAAACCCTAGCCCAGCACACTACCTCTTCACCCACCTGATTCCCCATCACCTTATCCACTTGTCACCATACCCCTCTTCCAGCTGCCATCCAACCACCTCACCCAACTTCTATCTTACTATCTCAGCTGCCACCTAGCCAATTATCCATCTGGCATCCCTGCTTCCTCTTAACCCACCTGCCACTCTGATCCCTATCCTACTTGCTTTATGCACATACCTTCTCTCACTTGCTTTAAAAAAAGCT